CTGATGTGATCTTGGTCCAGGCGATCAGCTCCTTTGGGCTGACGTTGCTGTTAAGGTTTGGGAAAATGGGATATGGGCTGAGACAGACAATAACATGGTTCTGTTCTCTCAGGACTAATCTACTGGCCCTCCTTCACGAGATTGTTCACACATTGTCACACATGTTGAGGGCACAGAAAGGTCTAGCAACCTCTCAGCAGTTCTCCTCACACACCTCTTCCTAACCCAGTTTTGTTATAGATATAACAAAACACATGTTTTACCTATTAAAAAAAAGTCAGTTACTGTCACAAGATGGGAGCCGAAAGACTCAAAGGGAGGCATTTGGCAAACAAAAACGGGTTTATTGTACTGGAGAGGAATATGGAAACAAACAAGACTGCGAGGGGGCAAAACAGGAAGGCCGATATGGAGTAGGACACAGGCAGACAGGAGGGGCGTCGTCAATGACTGGACTGGGGATGACGAAACAACCAGATACTTAAATAGAAAGACAAAGATGGGGTAGTAAGAAACAGGTGCGGCTCATCAGGAACATTAGGGGGGAGACAGGAGGGTCAGGTGGACATGACATCATCTGAGGTTCCCTCCTTAACCACTGTCACCACCTGGTCTCAGCCCCAGTACCTTAACCTTTAAGTCCCGTTATACAGGCACATTGAAGAATCGTAAAAACAGGTCTTGGTGTCAAAAAAGCCGTAACCTTTCCAAATCTAACCCTAGCTTCAGTTTGGGGACATAGGGACCCTAATTTGGGGACATAGGGTGACAAAACATGCTGTTGGAAAGTATGAAATATGCTATCAAATCGAGTTAACCTGTGGTTTTCCGCCATATGAGGGCCCGTACTGTAACTATCATAAAAACAGGTCTTGATGTCTGAAAATGTCATAACCTTTCTACCCCTAACCCTAGCTACAGTTGGCTAAGCCTAATTTGTGGACTTAGGGTGATAGAAAAGGCTGCTGGAAAGTATGAAATATGCTCTTAATACATTTTGTAGCCAAACTGACACACCTCTCGAGTCCCATGCAAACTGCTCCAAGAATCCCCCTCCGCCCCTTTTCCATCGATTTAACCTGTTTATGATAAGAGAAAAGAAAGAGCTCTACAGCTCAGCAAATGTAACCCTTCCAGCATTGCCCTCACTTAAAGACAAATACCCACCAGTTACTCACCAAGTACTTATTAAGGTAAGACTAGGTCTGAATACTGCATTGTGAATTTCATGAAACCGATTATGGCTGAACCATTTCCTCCTAGTCTGGGATATATCTTTAAATAATTGCTTTGATATATGTTTTTAGAATAGTGCTCAGTCTATTGCTCATTCAGTACTTAATGTGATCTGTAGTGTATGTGATATCCCTATATCTCTGTACACTCCATCCAGGCTGAAGTGCTGGTAATGGTGCCATGGTGTTCAAAGATGATTTAAGTGTCATGTGGTTTGTCGACTTGTGTGTAATTTCCATGTAATTTTCTGTGTATATTCCACATATGTGAGTAATGCTGTCTGACTCTATTCTGTTCCAGGTAAATTTCTGGGCTTGTACCAAGGAGCTGACTCAATACATATTGTAGGCGTGTGTCTCCTTTTGCAGTTTCAGTGTGTCTCTCAATGCATGGGTGTAATAACGTGTGCGTAAACAAGTCTGGGTCCCGTGGAGTTTGGAGTGGTTCAGTTAGTGAACCTTGAACACTGCCCATCTTACATGCATGAATAGACTAGGAATCACTCATACTCTTGCTGAGACCCCCCCCATTGAGTCCCAGGTTCCTGTATGGGGGCGGTTCAAGTTAGAACTCCTTGTTGGTAACCTGAAGGTCGCCAGTTCAAATCCCATGGCCGGTTGAGTGATCTCATTGTTGGTCCTGTGAGTAAAGCTTGAGGACCTTACTTTCCCAGTTTTATCAGGGGCAGGCTATCTGTTGTCAAGTGGTTGCTGGTTCAAGTCCCCACTGGTCAACCTGAACCTTTCTCTCTTATAAATACATATAAAGCTAACTTAGTATGAAGTGTTGGCAGGCTGTACAATACATGATACACGGCATTCAAGTTTTTGGCTGGAGTCAACCTGAGATGTTGCATCAGTCTTCTGAGTTTTCAGATTGATTTCATTAATAGACTGACATCATGGCACATCCTGGCTGTGTGAGCATGGAGATAATGGGGAGTGTGTATAAGTCCTCAGGGTCAGACACCCAGGGTGTTCCGTCTGAGATTCAACTTCTGTAATTACCGGGAGACTTATCCCGTAATCACATGTGACATACACCAACAGAATAACAAGTAGTCTGCTGGCATCCCGTTCAGTCTTGTATGAGCCTAATATTGGATGTTTATAGTCCTTAGTTAAAAATAATTCATTGATAGCAGCAAGACATAAGAAAAGGTAGAATAAATAGGACGATATTTGGGGGAAAATGTGTGACATCACTTCCTTTCCGTGTCCAGAAGGGAGTGTTAGTATTAGCCTTCACCGTGCCGCTGCAGTTTGTCATCGCATGGAGCCCACGGCTTGCTGTCTTGCAGCCAGTGACGGGTGCATGAGGCTGCATTCCAAGATCGAAACTGACACCCCCACACACCGACAGCCCAGGGCCCATAATTATTGCCTCGCCACGTCCTTCCCGCACTTCCCCTGGCAGAAGGACTGACACACAATTGATGGGGCTGTCTTCCAAGCAGCCATCACCACTCTGGCCACGGAAACAGACACCAGCTTACATATAATGAGCTGCGGCTCCAGCTCTGGACCTGCTGGCTTGGAAGGAGTCATTTTGGGGGGGAGCTGTCAGACGCTGCTGTGGCCTTACCTACTGCGCTCTCAGGTAAAGGCACACACCTCATCGAGATTAACGCTCACGAGCACCGGGGTGCAATCCCAGATTTGGTGCAATCGCTGGGAGGCGAAAAAACCTCATGAGCGACATACAACAATGATATTAAAAAGAGGCGGGACATGAATTTGTAGATCTTTGAAACAATCCATCAGAGCCTCAAAGTGGAAGCTGGCGAGAAGACAAAGAAGAGCCATACTTTGAGGAAGGGACTCTCTTTTGTCAGGTGCTAAGAGCGTGGTGACTAGAGGTGTGTACAGGGGCGGGGCCACAGGGACACTGGCCTCAGCTGATTGGCCCTCTGAGTACCCCCTCCCCTGTCACTCATATATTCAAAACACATCATTGGCTAATTACAGTGCTGACCACTCTGTATGAAGTATGGCTCATGAATGCCCCTCACCTTAAAAAATGCTAGAATCTCCCCCTTTACACCTTGCGGTTACACACTCATAGAGAAAGCGTAGCGTGTGGGATGAAGGCAAGAATGTTAAGAGTGGCGCTTCTTGAACCTCCTAGTGCCTTGACCTGGGTGGATTCGAGAGACCCACCCCCCTGCCTGACATTTAGTGGGCATGCAATTCTGAAGTGAATAGGACTTCATTTTACCACTCGACTGCTTACAGCTCATTCAGAATCCTGTTTGGGCCCGCATACACGCACATACACACACTCACACACCTACGAATGCACAGTGAAGCTCTGCTTTAAATTCTGAAGACAATAAAACAAAGACCAAGCGGGTCGGACCTTCAGTTTCTCAATAAGCCTTTCGGGGGGGTTAATACGTGGGACTGCTCTCGTCAAGACACTCGTCTCGGTCGGTGTGACAGAGCTGTGCGAGTTTTTGAGCCGCCCGTCATGGCGGAAGCAGTTGGACTCTCTTTGAATAATGACGTGCCATCAGTCTCCCTGACGAAAGCAGCCCCCAATTCCCGCCCCAACCCCCCCTTTGCACAGTATTAGTAAATTGAGACCAGGCAGGTGCAATCTGAGATGCCTACGTGTGTGTTGGCGCATTTTTGTGTGCATGTGTTGAATAGAGTACGACTTATATGTTGTGTTTTAGCCAAATATCTGTCAAGTTTAATTAGGGGTCTTAGGTTGAAAATTCCGTTCCCTACAACGAGGCAGGAAATGAAAAACTGAAGCAGAATTCTTCCATTTACTCAGATACTATTGGGTGAATTAAAATCGTAGGTGGATCCACATCTACTAAAGCAGCGATGTCCAGAGGAATCAAACTGGAAGGGCCGTTCTCTGATGGGCAGAAACCTGTGGACATGTCACTTAAAGCAGCGTTAAACACAGCTGACTAATGAAGTTATAAAAACCGCTCAAGCATAATTACGAATTTATGAGGGACAGCTATCAGCTATATTGTCAGTCACATCAAAAGTGCTCAAAGTCCAGAGAAATATACGTCGGAGGATAACAAACGGGTTGGCTGGCAGGAAACCAGCAGCTGAGATTAATGCTGCCCAGGAAGAGGTGGGAAAATCTCGCCAGCAAATGTCCTGGAGTGGGGGTCGCGTCGCGGAAGGCGGACCTGCGCAGAGATCGTCTGCCGGAGCCGGGGAAGGAGGTAATTGGTGCGCAGCATATGTGTGCTAATTGCACCGATGCACCTGAATGGGTATGTAGCTACTATAGGTGATGCTGGCTGCTTTAATTCTGCCTGGGAATGGGGGGGGGGGGGGCGGTGGCAGACCCGCCTTCGTTGTCAGCAGTGACCATATGTATCACCCCAGCCATCTGGATTACCTTCACATCAACCCCTGCCCCCCCACACTGAGCATGTGCCTTACACCCAACCCACCAGCCACCTTCATCTTGCCAGCCTGGATCCCCCCCCCCCCCCTTGCCAGTGCTTGCCCCCTTTCTAGGTCAAACGAGCAGAGCTGGCTACATCCATTCACTTAACAAGTGGGTGAGGAGCCCAGAAGCCGCCCCCCACCCCTGTAATCAACCCCTCCTTGCATTCCGACAGACGGAATTCAGTGGAGCAGACGATCTGAAGAGTCCCAACCCACCACCGGCAGATAACGTGAAACGTGAAAAATCGAATGAACACGACTGGCATAATTGCCACCTTAACTGACAACAAACAATTCCAGTCCTTCTTAACCAACAGTAACACACCAGTGAACCGGAGGCGCACAGCATGATTAATTTATTATATAAACTCAGTCAGCTGCAGCTGAGTGAAGTATCATTTATGTAATTGGTAAATTACAGCCCACTTACTCTAAATGCTTCACATCTGAATGAGAATAAGATACAAAACACTGTCAGAGGGACACAAAAAAGCACAATGGCATCTAGCACATGTGTATTAATGCGCTTTTTAATTGCAATTAAATGCATTTTAGTGCCTATGCAATTTTCCAAAGCTGCTTAAATTGTAGGTTTACCCAATTTAGTCATTCAGAGAAAATAACATAAATGAGTCTTTAAATAATCTCATGTCGCAATAAAGTGAAGTGCAATTTAGACATAGTGTTATGATTTGATCCATGAATGAACACATGAACACGCAGGATCCGATAAAGCTTTTCTTTTGCATCTCCAGGTTCCTCCTGTGATGTTGAACACTCACTTATTTAAAACTGTGATACAGAATTCTCATTTGTAATAGACAGAGTTAAAGAAATACACATATATATCCCTGAATTTTGAGATAATATCAATTTTCAAAGAATATAAGAATAAAAATAGCAGAATTTTAATGTTAGCCGTAATAACTGAAAAACAGCAGGCTCAGAATTTTGAAATGCATTTTCACGTCAGCATCTCTGATTCTGTTTTGTTTCTTTTTGAACACGAGCTCACGCCGCAGACGTCGCTGCGATGCCGATCACAGTGGCTGCCCGCAGGTCTTCGTTATCGATTCCCTCGTTGCTTCATTTATCAGCCATCTGTTGGAGAACATTCTGGAACAATGGGCTGCCAGGTCGGTACAATGCTGGTCTTTTCAGAGGTAGGTGTTCGGTTTGTGTTGAAAACACAACTGCTCAGGATTTAAGCATTTTAGCTGGTTCTGTGCTGGGCTTTTAAAAACAATTAAGGAATCTCGAGTCACTATTAAAACCAACCCTGAACATGGAAAATCTAAAAAAGGATTTTGTAACTCATGATGTGCTGCACACGTATCGCATTCACTCTTAGATATACCTGCAACCTGTTCATATCTTGCCTAATTTTGTTTCCATACGCATTTATTTAGGAAACACTGGCAAATGTTAATTCAAATCTACAATCTAAAGCACTATTTGCATGCTCAATGACATGAATGCAAAGTCCCATCACTATGCCAGTTCATGATAGTTATTTATACTCATTACCATTTTGAAAACAAATGATTAATATCCACTTATCCATCTTCCAGCTGCTTATCCAGTGTGGGTTCGAATGGGGGGCCTGGAACCTATCCCAGGCAGGACGGGACACAAGACAGGGCAACTCCCTGGACAGGATAATACAACTATTACCATACTAACAACAACAAGAACAACATTTCATTTATAAAGCACCTTTCTGACACAGAAGGACATTTTACAATTCATACAGTCCAACACAAAGAAATGGGTGCTGGTCCATTGCAGTGAATTATTAATATAATTAATTTTCCATTAAAGTCTTTGTTCCGTGTTGCTATTTAGATTCAGTTTTTCTTCTCTTTGTTCAAGCCAAGCTTTCCTAGTTCTTGTTCAGAATTAAATATGCCAAGAGTCTTATTATTATTTAAATAGTCTTGATGGCATTATACTGGATTGTATTGCAGTAATAATTTGCCAGTTTTGGACTTTTTTCTGCATTTTCATTCAATCTGGAATGTTCCATCAAGCCGTTTGTAACAACTTCCAACAAAACTGAGTTATACCAAATAAAATTTGACTAATTAATTGACTTTATGTCACAACAGTCTTCCATCTGAGGGCAGCAAAATTGACAGTAAACTCCCATCGCTTTCCCTGGTACATCAAATATGCCAATGAAGATCTGGATCATGACCCAAGTGGTTTATAAACACATTTATAACAGATAATATTGCATTGTGATGGTTGGTATCAGCATTAAGGATGCTTTGTACTGCATTATGAAGGCATCTATAGTGCATTATAGATGAGAGTTTCAAAAAGCATTCATAATGCATAATAAACATGCCCATAATGTGTTATTTATTTTTATGAATATGTATAGCCATATTTATAATGCTTTGTGCATACAATTACTAAAAAACATGGCCTTAAGTAAAGTCTTGCCACTACAGCCACAGGCAGAAGCTCTGGGTGGCCCTCTCTATGTAGTCAGAATGCACCTTAGTGAACAGTAAGTTAAAAAGCTACTGTTTTAGCAGGATTAGCATGACAGATGGCCACCAGTCTCACACAATCCTTAAAGGCTGTAACACCTGTGACCAATCAATGCCAATTTTAGTGGCATGTGACCGATTTAAGGGACCAAAAGGTATTAATGTAAGTGTCTGAGAAAAGAGTACAAGGACTAGGATTCATTGCCTTTCATCTTAGACTGAAAGTCTTATTTTTTGCAATGCAAAACAGTGTTTTTTTGGTAATGTTTGCTTGTTCAGTTTTCTACCTGATGAGGCAATGTTATGAAATCCACATTTCTTACCTTTGATACTGACTTATAACTCGACACAATAAAACAATTTCAGAAACCGAACGGGTACTTGGAAAATGAAACATCCTATTTTGGTTGGTAATAAATGACTCACCCAGTGCGACCAAACACAGATGTACACCAAACACCTTGACACCTGCAGCGAAATAGCACACTTTTCTTTGGACTTCCTATAAGGACAGAGGAATCGGTCTTCAGAACCTGTGGTGGATGGGATTGTGCATCATTTTATGCACGGTTTGGTTTAACCCACCTCCCACTGGCTACTATACTGAGCAAATTTCTACAAGATAGTGCACAGTAAACTCATCGCCTGCAGGTTCTGAATCTTCAAAATCTCATTTCTTACTTTCTTCCATAACATCTTCCAGGGCTGCTGTGAATCTGAAGACTCCCCTTGGAAGTACAAGGCACCAGGCAAGTTACAGGATACAGAGTGTCAGTCCATCGTGGGCACACACTCATACACACAATCGAAGGGTACAGGCGATTCGCCGCCACCGACACGCGAAAGGATGTTGGGAGGAAAGCGGAGCCAGAAACCATGAGAACACGGGGAGAAAATGCCAGCGACTCTACTCGGAGCTGGTGTGCGTCGCTTTAACAAAAATAGAGCTGGTAAGCTGGTGAATCATGTGCCAGTATAAGACCACGTTCCATAAACAAACACCAGACAGCTGAAGAAAGACGTAATGCAAAGGTATCCATTTCAGACTTTATGGCTGGTGCTGAGAAATCAATATCTCCAGGTCCTCGGGGGGGCGGGGGCCATGAGACAGCCTTAAGTACAGCGTGAACGCTCCCCTTCCCGGGCGTCGTGTCCTTGACTAACATCCTTGCTGCCGCCGCTGCTGCTGCTGGGACCGTAAGTGGTTTCCCTTTGTGAGAACTGGAGAAATTTGATTTCTCACCTAACCCCCACGCTGCACCCTGCGAAAGAGCTCGCGGTAACGTTATTACACGTTCAGAAGCGTCTCAGCCGGCGTCGAGCACAGGGGTCACCGAAAGGCCAATTTTCAGGAGACTTAGCTAAGGGGATTTGGTGGAGGCCTCCGGCTAATGGCCGTTTCGTCTGTTTGTTTATGTTTTTGTTTCAGAAATTTTACAATGTTTCTGTCCATCTGAGAGTTAGCGATCAGTGTTTAGGTTTTATCCATCCTAGGCATTTTTTTTCTTAATTCTCTCTGGAAGGTCTACCAAAAAACAATAACACAATTAGTATAATTGGACTAGTGTTTTTCTCAGGGGAGTTGGGCAGTATTTTAATTTTTTTCTCTTGCTTTGTCACGCAGACTCTCGACCGATAAGAAGCGGCCCTCTCCGGTGACACCAGCTCATCTTCCTGCAATCAGCAAATTGCACTTTCGGCTTTGCCACCTGTCATCAGCTCCGGCAGCTGAGGGCCTTAAGTGCTTCACTTATTTTACTCCCAAATAGGGTTGGGTGGATTGGAGGTCATGGCTGCTCTTCTCTATTGCAACAGGCGCTTGGTGGGGAGACGTTATTCCCATGACCCGGGATCAGTTTCAGCACTTAGCCTGTAATTGTTAGGGATAGATCTGGAGCGCTGCCATCTGATTCAAAATCAGCTGAGAGCAGAACATGCTGTACTATGCACCACAGGTGGGAGTGAGGGCTTCAGATGCAGAGCTGCACGCATTACATAAGTTCCAGTAACTGGGAGGACTATCAGCATGCCCTGTATATATCTTTCCAGATCTCTCCAGTTTTCTAGGGTGAAAAACCTACATCTTTCCTTTACTAAATCTAAATCACCGTTACAATAAATGCTGAAAATACGAATCCATTGAGAGAGACCAAACTACGTAGCACTGAACTTTACACTGAGTTTGATTTACTCGTCAAAATAATTATTTCCAGAAGAAGTAAAACTCATCTCTCAAATCTGCTCACCGCTCTGCATTAAATGGCAAAAGGATCTCTAAGGCCAACACAATGCTAACCTTGTTAGCGATGGACCCCACAGTGCTGCACTCTGTAAGAGCCTTTGTGCTTATATTATAACCTGAATTCTTAGGTAATTGCTCAAAAATTCCAGAAGTGACAGTAAACACAGTTAAATCCTGGGATGTGCTGACATTACGGTGTCGTATGGTGAAATGTGCGTATGACATGTGGGAGAGGGGGCAGGTGACCTCATCCAATCAGATCAGCCTTTAACGTTTAATCCTTTTCTCTTCTACTCATAGACCTGAGACTGCTTCTGGCTATAGCCCTAAGACTTGAGCACTGTGTTTACATCCCCAAACAGTTAAGTTTCACCCGGCTTGCAACAAAAATAAAGTTTCTCCCACCTGCCTTTTGCCTGTCACAGGGATCTGTTCTCTAGCTGATAACAGGAAATCTTACCCAACTATGTCAACTGTCTTTGCAGAAATGCATCCCTATACCAGTCTTGTAAATATCCCTGCTGATAAACTGATGATCTTCATTGACCTGAGGTGGGGCTTTGATCTAAATGTCACCTGTGGTGCTGAGGTTGTTGAAACTTATCAATATTATTGAGTTGCGACAGGAGGGCTGCCTGAGCGGAACCACAGGCAGAGTCTGAAGAACTGCACTGCAGGGCAGGCAGCCAAGGATGCACACAAACGGAAACATGTGACAACAGGCATGACAGCCAAGAGGTTGCCATGTAACCACTGTGGCAAGTACCACCCACGAATGTATGTGGATACTATTACTCTGTATCAAAACTGTCTTAGTTACTCAGCTTGATTTCTATGGAAAAAGGTACAGGAATATTATTAATCATGGTGATCTATCTATCTATCTATCTATCTATCTATCTATCTATCTATCTATCTATCTATCTATCTATCCATCTATCTATCTATCTATCTATCTATCTATCTATCTATCTATCTATCTATCTATCTATCTATCTGTCTATCTATCTATCTGTCTATCTATCTATGCTGAGACCCTGAGATGGAAAATGGGTCACAATAAGCTAGGGTGTACCTGAGCCAGCATATACTGTGGATGGGTTTTACTTATTTATAACCAGGCCTGAACTCATATATGTTTTATAACTTCTTATCTCCAGAAGCGTCGGGACACGCTGGACGGGGTGCCCCTCCCTCACAGGACATGCACAGACAATTGTACACTATGGGAAATACAGAGGTACTGATTCACCTAACTAGAGGAGGGAACCAGAGTTCATACAGGAAACTCTCAGGAACACAGAAACACAACCTGCGCTCACAGAGTCAGAGGCTGCGATCTGGCCTCCAGCCCAGCAAGGTTACAATGCTACCCACCGAGCCGCCATGCTGGCTAGCATTTCCATACCCATTTCTTAAATTATGATTTTAACTGTGCCAAATGATTTATGCTGAGACAAAAAAATCAACCGTAAAAGCCTCAGTATTGCTGCAGAGCCAGTTAGTGGCACCCTGAGATGTAAGGGCAGCTTAATCACAAAACTCTTGTCAGTTGCGTCCAGCTGACGTGGGTTTACCTTGGTGGAGAATCTGGAACTTATCCTTTGTTTATCCCTAATTCACATGACTTTTTTTTCCTCTGTGATGGCTAACTACCCCAAATGTGTTATCTGCTATAGCAGAATAACTGCAAAAATTCTCGTTGACATCCACGTTGATCCTCCAATCCATCCTGCAATCATAGATGCAAGATCAACGGAACTGAGAGGAAGGACAAAACATCAGCATAAAATCTCGGGGGTTTGTTTGCCCAGCTGACCTCATTCATTAGAATCAGCTGAGTATGTTGAATAAATATTCTACATTCCTATGATGAATGTTCTGAGAAATATCTTCATTTATCTGGGTTAAATATATTCAGTTTTTCATACTTCAGGATTACTATGATTTTGTTGACCTGAGAAGTGTAATTTGTTCAATCAAATGTTAGTAATAATTGACTTTAATTGGATTTTTGACATTTCCCAATAGGCTACAAGAAATTAAAGGACTGAATGATTCATTGTACCTCAGTAGGTTTAATGATTTGTGTATAAAATATAAATTTTCATTATCACAAATGCATATGCATTTCAAATGAGATCAACTTGTTCCTCATCTTCAATTGTTCCTCATCTGTTCCTCACAACTCAACTCTGGAAATTCACTTGCAATATGCAGTGGCAAAATCAGCTTCAAAAATAAGCAAAAGATAAACCAAATCTCCAGTTTACCATACTGTACACTGCTGATTTGACTTCTTGAAGACTTAAAGTACCTGTGTCAACATTCTACTATTATTAACAACTTTCCTCTGTTTTCAAATAAACTTGAAATAATGCATAGTACCCTACGAATCATGCCCCAATTACAGTCAGATGCAGGTACCAAGACACACATACACACACAGCCGTAGCCAGGATTTTTAAAATACAGAGGTCAAATGTGTAAGCCCTTCCTAGGTCTGCCCTGTAATGGATCGTGGCTACTGGAGTTGTAGAAAAAATACTGAAGACTTGGCCTTGGTGTCCTCAGTAGTACGGCAATGCATACACAGATAGTCTATGGTCATCTAATCTGTCAAGCCAGAAATTATTTAAATTCCAGTCATCACATAATTTATCAACTTCAACGTTTAGGAACGTTTACAGATGCTCTGATGAGCTGGGAAAAAATTTAATCCGTTATTGCTATGCAAATAAATCTGATGAATTTAATTTGTGTGCCTAAAACCTTTTAGAATCTATCTACAGATGTACATAATTAATAAGCAAAATAAGCTCAATTTTGTTATTTGATTTAGAAATTACCAGCTACAGTACTGAAGTAAATAGCCATTCCTCGCATGGATTAGCCTTCTGCTCCTATAATGTTTGTATCTATACCATAGCATAATATTTTATAAACATTCACAGTATTTCTTGCTCAGGGGAGGCTGGTCCATAGAGGTAGAGGAAACAGTACCTCTTCTGTCTTTGAGATAAAACTATGCAACAAGTAACTTTGAAATAATTTATTACTAAAATTTTTGTGTCATTTAAAAACAAAGTTTTTTCTATTCTTTGAAAAACATCCCTTTTGTACCACTGTAAAAGTATTATTTTCTTGCCACCTAATTTTTTCAGCCAGCAGCCACGCTGGTAAATGCACAAGCTAGTGAATTTAACATAGTCCGTGCATATTGCACAGAAATAATTAATTATGCACACTGAAAATTACACACAATACACCTAACTGAACCACATTCATGTATAATGCCTCCCTAATGTCATTTGAAGCATAATAAGTGGGGAAAAAAGATCCATACATTTTACAATACACTGGCTGTAACGGCTCACAGTAATAGCTTCCATACAGCAGAATATTTGCATGAACTTTAATTATCTTTTTTGTACAAACGTCACTTTGCAGATGGGGGGGGGACGTCTAGGATTTAGCATCCGTGCTTAAATACAAGAATTTGTCACGGCACATGGGCAGCTTCACGTACATTTTTTTAAGGTACTTTAAAAATACGGCTTTTTTTTGTGTGCTCCAAACTCTTTTGCCTACACAACATGTAACGTCACAGAAATGTCAGAGGCTATATGGATATTTTTCGTGCAAACAACACAATACTAATTCCACAACAGAAATGAATATCCTAGTGTATAAAGGATTCGTTGTCATATAGGCCTACCCAGTGGATGCAGTGGGCAACAGTCCCTGTAAGTGTTTCAGTCTGACTGGTCTGTAACGCTGCAGCTCATTCGAAAGGCAGAGTACCAGTGATCATGAGCTCATATTATCCAAATGCTTTATTTGAATATTTAAGGTCATGAGGCAGTTGCTTATGCATCTGCTACTGCTGCCAAGTGTCTCTGGAATAACAGGTCTGAATAATCTGCTTTTGCAACAGATGTAAAGTTGGAATATGAGATATAATGTGATTTTCCTCCATCCCGCGTTTATGCTGATTTCGGTGCCGTAATTCTGGCAGTATCCTGCTAGCATGCAGTCGGTAAACATCTCTGCCGCTCAAATTTATATGACACTCAGATCATTTTCTGATATCCAGTTTAGGAGATTTTCATGCTGGAAAAGAAGCAGTGCAAAATTCAAAGTGATCCCAGATGATGCGTGATTGAAGCAAATACGAGAGTTTATTAGACAGCAGTTTGGTTAAACGGAGCAAAATAGTCAGAGATCATTCTAACAGACCGGAGAAAAGAGCAAGTAATATGACCAGATAAAGAATTACAGATAAACCTTAAGTGAATTTACCTAGTCATACCCAAATACCAAGGCTTCAAGTGATATTTATGATTTCTGCACAAAATGTATAGTTACTGATAATGTGTATTTATCGCAAAGAATGTAGTGGAAACTGTAATATTCTTTTGGGAATCTAACACAGATTGTTTTGGTTTATTTTTGTGGAAAAAAAGAATACACTGTTATTACTTTGTGCTGAAACACTACCCTAATTACACTAATTAATATCAGCATTAATACCGAGCAATGGGCTTTAACGACCTTCGCATGAAAACTACATATATTAAAATCTACAGTCTGAGCTTAATGAAAAACAAGACCTTGGCTGCCAGAAGTGGAGTTTTTGTCCTTGGGATCTGAATTAAAATAAATGTATAATAATAAAAATAAAAAGAAAAAATCGGTTTAATGCACATTAAAGAAATATATAAGTATTTTCATTCTTTGTTATTTGGATGAAATGTAAATACTGTGAATGAATGCTGATGTTTGGCTTCAATGGCTCCATATGAGACGTGTTTACATGCTGGTGCGTTCTGGAGAGCTTTTGTAAACAGTCCTGCCCTGATTGATCAGTTGTCTTACAAGAAAAGGTCTTCATGGAGTGGGGGGGGGGGGCAGATAAACATGACTACATGCAGGATCTTGAAAGCACTCGCTAGGACGCCTTTGGTTGTATGAGTGAGGAAAACCCATACAGCTCGCACATTGTTTTGTTTCTAGACCAGTCACATCGATGGCTCAAGTTAAGAGGGACGTCCTCGATCCCAGCTGACGTTTCTGCCGACGGGCGTTCGGCCAAGACACGCGGGAAGCCGACTCCGTAAAAAGGCATCTTTCGGCATCTAGGTCGATTGCCGGCGGTCGGCGATAAGCTAATGTTTTAGACTGAGAATAAGACATGCAAGGTAGCTTGAGAAAAAGAGACAGACAGAGAAGGATGACAGGAAGAGGGATGCTGAGCACATAGTGAACAGAACACCCCCCCAGTACTGCCCATCCAAGCTTTTACTGTCCCTCTTTTATTGTGACCTCATGTAAAATGATTGCGGGGAGAATATGTTAGGTGCTAGGTTGCAGGGAGAATATGACCTGAGAGAACATGGGACACGGAGATGAGGCATAACCTGGAAAAGTTTAAGGGGGACACGGCTGTGGGTAATCATTTACATGTCGTTTAGCAGCCTCAGACTGTACAGCATTCACTGTGGTAACACTTCACTTGAGGGGACACAAGTAACTTAGTAACTCAGTTACAGGGTTGCCAACTTTGAGATTTTTAATTTGAGACAAGTCTGCACATGCACTTACATGTATGTAAATGTTTTATTACCTTACAACTAGTCTGTAGGGTTTGCAAACTACCCCAATGCTTTTGATGTAGTTAATTTTAGGTTTCTAATGGAATAATGCAGATTTACAGCAAGATTTCTTGCGTGAGCGTAACGTCAGAAAGTGAGGGCGCAACGCCAGACGTGTGAGGGTGCCACGCCAGACGTGTGAGGGTGCAACGCCAGACGTGTGAGGGTGCAACGCCAGACGTGTGAGGGTACCACGCCAGACGTGTGAGGGTGCAACGCCAGACGTGTGAGGGTGCCACGCCAGACGTGTGAGGGTGCAACGCCAGACGTGTGAGGGTGCCACGCCAGACGTGTGAGGGTGCCACGCGAGACGTGTGAGGGTGCAACGCCAGACGTGTGAGGGTGCAACGCCAGACGTGTGAACGTGCCACGCCAGACGTGTGAGGGTGCAACGCCAGATGTGTCGGCAACCCTGCAGTTATTACTCAAGTATATATCATGAACAAACGTACTAAATGTATGAAATACTGTACATGAACTATTATGACTGATTAATCATGAAAAAGCACGGGATCAGAACGATAGTAACACTTGATTTCTGGTTAATTAATACATTAAGTAATAGTGTACTACTACATTATGTGCCATCGAGTAAAGTGTTACCGCCATGAGTCTGTGTGTGTATCTTTCTGCATGAAGGCAATTATGAGCTTGGAGTCTGGCGATGGAGCGGGAAGTCTGTCTTTTTTCAGCTGGATCAGCACTGAGCTGAACCAGGGTCCGGTTTGCGTCCGGTTCTCCACTGTGTCAACCAGTTCGGCAAATTACTTAATCTCACACAAAGGCTATCTTCTACTTCACTGCATTGTCTTGCCTTGTTTACATGTCTACTGCCAAAACCGAGCTTTCTAATCGAGTGGGATGGTTTTTCTGAAAGCAAAAGATCAGAAAAACAAGATGAAAGCATTCGTTTGCTCCCTAAGATTAAACTGCACACTCTTTTGTTTAATGTTGTTCTGAGTTGCTTTTCTTGTTGTTTTTGAAGTGCTTTGTGTTTTTACTTATTTTATATTTTATGGCTCATGGATCATTAAACCTCAGATATTTCCGGGTTTTTCTGTCTAATGGAGTGGTGGGACATTTTAAAGGTTAGATCTCACAGTACTGGGCTTTTTCCTTGATGCTGTGAAGTAATGGGTCACGCTGACTCTTTGTGGGAAATTACAAATTTTGCCACATATCCGCATTTCAAGGCAGCAAAGACTGAGAAGAAAAAACAACTGCATATAATTTGGAGCATGTTTAATTATTAACCTGGGAGTGATGGCATGAGTAATTGTGAGACTCGTTAGAAGCAAAGTGCCTTCAGGAGTCAAACCAAAGTGATTGATATGTACGAGTGAGGAATACAATGCTGTTCTTCTGTTTCTCATACATCTACCAGATTCAGTTTTAAAAGCACTTAAAAAAG